AGACACGAGGCACATTCTCAGGCGGGCCCGCCCCCACTGGTAGAGGCTTCATCCCCTGGGGTTTCTACCTCTTCCATAGGGGTCCGCCCTTCCTGAGCCGACGCCTCGTTCTCCTTGAGTTTCAGGTTGAAAGAGGACAGCATATAATTAATTCTGCCCTCTCTCTCCCTGATTATCTTGGCCTCTTCCATCCCAAGACCAAACACAAAGAGGTTGCCTGGAGAGGCAGCCTCGGGTTTGGCCTCGCGATGGAAAAGAAGCCATTTTTTGACGTGGGCCCATTGGTTCTGACCCTCCAGGCGGCGAAGTACGACTCCTGCATCCACCGGTGGTCCCGGTATCCACAGGGTCGCCCTCACCAGCCTTGGTAGCTCAGCCAAGGGGACCACGTTAAGTTGTGCGCCCTCCCACAAGGGTGTTAGGGAGCGCACTGTTTGTTGTAGCCATTTCAGGGACAACTCGTCTTCACAGGTTATCCTTAGGACTTCCCCTGTGTACTTCATGCCCCTGAAAGTGGCTGCTTGTCTACCCGATGCCAAGCACTGGTCCAGTTGCCTGTCCAGCGCTCCCATCAGGCCCTTTTGTACTATATCCACCTGGCCAGCAGTCAGCTTACCAAGTGGATGCTGCACATCAATCACAGCTACACGGAGATGACTTGCAGCCGCCTCCCTGTAGCTCTGTTCTCTAGAGGTAGTCTCCTGCCTCCTCATCCTCTTTTGCTTCTCAGCTGCCGGAGGTGTGGAGGTTGAAGACCTCACTCTCTTCTTTGACCCTGAGGTCTTTTTCCCCGCGGGTTGTTTAGGGTTGGCTATCGTAGCCTGCCCTTTACCCTTGAGGTTTATCCCGGAGGAGGATGGACCCGGTTTCGGCGGGTCGGTATTCGCCGCCTCCGCCTGCAAACGAGCCTTCCTCCGCCTTTTTACCTCAGCCCCGCAGATTCGCTTCCTCCTAGGAGGCTGCGACCCCACATTGGCTGGGTTTCCTGTTTGAGGTGCACCCGAAGGCACTTCCTCAGTGGTTTTTTTATTGTTTTCGATTTCCATAATCTGGATTTTGATTTCGTCCTCCTGCGTCCCCACCCACCACGGAGTCCAACAAGGGGACGCCGAACTTCGACGTCAGGGCTAGCAGAAGGATATAGCCCCCAGGGAAGCTCATCCTGCAGTACGCAGCCTCAACTAGTGAGGTTACTCGTGCTCAGACTACACTTCCCCCAAGGACTCACCCTGTCGGCGGTCTGACCCGACGACACAGCCGATTGATCTGAGATGGGTTAGTCTCGACCTCCCGTTTTGGTGGAAATCCAGGCCAAAGAGGCGTGTTGCCCAGCCTTGGTGACACACTGCACCAAGGGGGGCTCAACCTCCAGGATTCCTTCATCCCACCTTACGGGTCTCCACGCACGGCACAAACACGCGGGAGCTTGTCCGCGGGGCTGTTTTGACGACCCCACACCAGGGGTTTAATCCCGGGGGGGCACGTTTATTTCCAGCCCTCCTCTACTGAACCGCCTTCGCGGCCGTCTAAGCCGACAACCACCAAGGCATGTCCAGGCAAGACGAGCCTCAGCCCTAACCTACATATCTGGAGAAGGGAAAAATCCAGGTCGGACTTCCACCACCCCCAAGAGTGTTTAGTTCCCGGGGGCATATCCGCCCTCCCCAGACCCCCCTTCCCCAGACAATGCCGGTCTCCCCCTATCCGCAACACTGGGGACGCGCCTGATAGGTAACTCAACCCACAGGTCTCTTCTTGTGATTTATCATTCCATTCAAATTTTTTCGATTTGCATATACAGGGTGACTGAAAAAAATTAATGAATGCGTCAATTTATTTTATTGATTTAATCAGGAATTACATAATCGAATGCTTTGAAATCTTGGAGATGTTTTAAAGTTACCATAAGCATGGTAATTTTTTTATCAAAATGTATTTGCTCTTCCCCCCTAAAAAAATCGATGACGTCACCCTAAAATTTGGTGAATAAATCCTATCTAAAATGTGAAAAATATGATGACTCTGTACTTGTGATTTATCACTCCGTTCATATTTTTTCGATTTGCATATATAGGGTGACTGAAAAAAATTATTGAATGCGTCAATTGATTTTATTGATTTAATCAGGATTTACAGAACCGAATGCTTTGAAATCTTGGAGATGTTTTAAAGTTATTATCAGCATGGTAAATTTTTTATCAAAATGTATTTGCTCATCCCCCCTAAAAAATTGATGACGTCACCCCAAAAGTTTGCTGAATAAATCCTATCTAAAATGTACAAAATATGATGAGTCTGTACTTGTGGTTTATCATTCCATTCATATTTTTGGATTTGCATATACAGGCTAACTCAAAAAAATTAATGAATGCGTGAATTTATTTGATCGATTTAATCAGGAATTACAAAACCGAATGCTTTGAAATCTTGGAGATATTTTAAAGTTATTATAAGCATGGTAAACTTTTGTTCAAAATGTATTTGTTCATCCCTTCTAAAAAAATTGGTGACGTCACCCTTAAATTTTGCTAAATAAATCCTATCTAAAATGCAGAAAATATGATGAGTTTGTACTTGTGATTTATCATTCCATTCATATTTTTTAGATTTTCTTAAAGGGTGGCTCAAAAAAATTAATGAAGTCAATTTATTTTATTGATCAAATTAAAGGCAACACTTATTATTAGTATTACATTGGACCAACCCAATTTGGTAGACACAAAATTTTTTAAAGTTAAAACTCGGTTGAAACATAGCTGACTAGGTTCCGCGAATGTGGTATAGACATGTTTTAAATCAACCAATTGTGAATTCCACCGTCAATAATTAAAATAAAATCCAATGTTTTATATAATAAGCGGAAGTCGACGCAATAAAACCGATTGTCGTTTTGTTTACAGTTTCTTTGTTTGACTCTCACGTATGCTATTACGCCTGTCATCTTAAATTAAGAATGTTTATACATACACGATTTTCAGTTGCCTCTGATATGTATACGTGAGTAAATTGTTTCGTTATTTTATTGATTATTACAAATCAATATTCAAAACGACCCAATTCATTTTCCCGAAAATTTGAGAATATAATAATTTTATTCTTAGTATTACACTACATCTATCCCAACTGATATACGTGTCCTTGCAAAAATGTTGATGACGTCATCGCAATTTTTTTTTAAATTCCCACTACAAAAATGTAATGAGAAAAAAAACACAATAGGCATGCAGTCGTCAAGTTTCCGACAGCGAGGGAAGTACTGTCTAAACTCTTTAGACCAATTTTTTTTTATTTCTTCAATTTTTAATTTTGCAATTTTTCGATTTAAAATTTCTGGAGTTTTCAATTTTTCGCTTTGCAATTTTAAATATTTTTTAATTTTTCGTGTTTTCAATTTTTAATTTTTCGAGTTTTCAATTTTTCCTATAAAAAAAATGGAGAAATTGCAAAATCGTAAAATTGAACAACAAAAAATTAAAAGACGAAAAAGTATAAAATGGAAACATTGAAAAGTCTAAAAAATGGAAATGAAGAACTTGAAATATTGAAGAACGGTTTTAAAATTGTTCCATTTTTCAATTATTGGATCTTTCAGTGTTAATGTTTCGATAAATTTGAATAATTTTTCTTTCAATGTTACAATTTTTGATTTTTTCAACTTCTCGAATAGATTCTATTCGTTTTTTCTCCTTTCCCATTTTTCAATTCATGATTTTTTTTCAATTTTTAAGTTTCTCGATTTTTAGTTTTTCATTGTTTCAGTCTTTCGTTTCTTCATGCTTCGATTTGCAGTTTATCGTGTTTTTTCCGATTTTATTTAGTTTTTCAATTTTTAATTATTCGACTTTTCAATTTTCCGTATAAAAAGTGGAGAAATTGCAAAATCGTAAAACATTGAAAAATCTGAAAATTTGAAATGAAGAACTTGAAAATTTGAAGAAAAGAAAAATTAAAAAATTGGTCTAAAGAGTTTAGACAGTACTTCCCTCGCTGTCGGAATCGTGACGACTGCATGTCTATTATGTTTTTTTTTCGCAGTAGATTTCATTATTTTTTTGAGTCACCCGGTATATGCAATTTCAAAAAATATGAATCGAATGATAAATTACAAGTACAGACTCATCATATTTTGTATATTCTAGATAGGATTTATTCGGCAAACTTTTGAGCTGACGTCATCAGTTTTTTGTAGAAGATAACCAAATATATTTTGACTAAAAATTTATTATGCTCTTTATAACCTTAAAACATTTGCAAGATTTCAAAGCATTCGGTTCTGGAGTTCCTGATTAAATCAATAAAATACATTTACCCATTCATTAATTTTTTTGGGTCACCCTGTATATGCAAATCCAAAAACTATGAATGGAATGATAAATCACAAGAAAAGACTCATCATACTTAGTACATTTTAGATATGATTTATTCGGCAAAAATGAACAACTGCAAATCGAAAAATTGAAGAAACGAAAAACTGAAAAATTTGGAAGTCGAAAAAGTGAGAAACTGAAAAATCAAAGTTGAAAAAAAGAAAAGAGAGAGAGAGAGAGATTAAGTTGTGTTAAAGTATATAAATGTAAGTACAATTAAGTGCGTCATTTATTTTTTTGTTTGAGTCACTCTGTATACGTAATTCTAAAACCCACGAGTGTAGTGATAAACTACAAGAAAGTTTATTCGACAAAATTTTGAGATGACTTCATAAATTTTTTGGAAAGGGATAAAGTAAATTTTGATTAACGATTTAACATGATTTCGATAACCCTAAATAATAAGTCTAATAAAAATCCGGACAGACGGCAGACAGGCAGACAGCCTCGATTACAATACTTCCTTAGCTTACCACTAGGAACTAAAAAGTGACAATGTCAATATTGATCGTCTGCTTGCTACAAAATGAAATTTACAGTAGTTTTTATGACTCTCTTTCAACTTAAATATTTTCTCATCACTCTGTGTTCGTAATGCAGGTATAATTAATCAAGTTCTTACTTTATCTACAGGTCCAGCATTTCGCGAGGAATTAGCTGATTCAATCTGTGCCGTACTCTATACGGTTACCACAACTACAACTCACAAAAGCGTTTTTAAAAGAATTTTGGAATTGCTAGAAACTTGGAGTACTACTTTTCGGGACAATCCAAAATATGTCGTTTTCCGAGATTTCCTTCGTTTATTGCAGTCCAGTAGTTATAGACCGTCAATCTTCTGCGACCTGGACGACGTGAGATGTGACAGACGTCCATTCACATTGAATACAGCAAGAAAATATCGCTGCACATGTTGCGGAAATTTTTGTTGTGAAGCTTGTAGTCGCTCTTATAATTTCGTATTTTGTGAAGAAAATGATAGCGGAAGAATCTGTGATGGCTGTTACAATTGTGGCTTTGGTACAACTAATATAGCTTTAGAAGAACCGGATGTGAACTTCATCGATGGGTTGTCTGAAGAGTTCAAACTACAGTTGGCGATAGCTATCAGCTTGTCAGGGGGTAATGATGCACAAGAGGGGGCACATGGAGTAACTCAATCGTCCCAAGGTAAGTTCTGTACCTAAATATAATAAATAGAGAGCGGATTTCTAGGTTTAATGCTTTTTGTGAAAAATGTAAACACTTCAAAACTTTTTATATCTGTAACTATGATACAATTTGGAGTCATTTGACACATTTTTTTTTATGCTTATTTGCTTTTTTTCAATTTTATGCATATTAAAACTTATATGCTTATTTAATGCTTTTTTCGACGAATATGAGTTTTAATGCATATTTTGTTCAAATGCTGGCCTTGTCGGGATGACAAATACTTGTTAGTTAGGCGTATCGTATCGTATGCATTTTACCTGGACTTGACCATTGAAGTACACTTACTCAAGACCCTTTCTATGAATAAGTTCCGGTCGTTTGGGTAATAAAATTTTATTATAGGATTGGAAAAATACTCCATAGATTTTATGACTTTAAATCCTTACTTCCGTTGATAATGACTTAAAGCTTTTAACCAAATGTTCTTTTTTGGCATTTTGCGGCAAGACCGTTGAAGATTTTCTAGAAAAAAGGATTATTGTACCCAACTACCTACCTTAAAATTTTTCTAATGGAAATTTTTAAGTAAATGAACCGTTTATTTCACAACCATCAGTCTATCGCATCTGTCGTGGTACAGTGTTATACGTGGTTCTCCTTTGTTACATGTTGAGTTCTTTTTGGTAATATTACTAATATTTTAAAAGAATGCCGAAAGTAAAATCGACGCCGGATGAGTGGATAAGGAATTTAAAATTAGAAAACAACAAAATATTTTGCAGAGCTTGTGTGAAAACCGTAAGCCCACTAATTTTTTTTTATCTATTTTCCTTTGTTAATCCTGTATATGTACGTTGTTTTAGATTCAAAATGATAACGTGGCGCAACATGTCAGAACGACTCTTCATGTAGAAAGGAAGAAAATGTTTGAAGTTTCTAAGATTAAACAGCAGACCATACATGAATCTGTTGCATCTACTTCCACAAAAGATGAGCAGTTTCAGTTTAATTTCGATTTATGTAAAATGATGATCCAGTCCAATATACCTTTAAAAAAATTGGAGGAAGGCCCTCTTCAAGAATTCCCTGAAAAACACTGCAATCGACATATTCCGGTTGAAAGTACTCTCCGAAAAAATTATGTAGGCCCAGTGTTTCAGCAAGTTTACAACGAAATTAAACATCGCATTGGAGATATGTAATTATTTATGGTTCGCTGTCGATGAAACAACCGATAGTTGTGGAAGATACGTGGCAAGTTTAATTGTTGGAATCTTAAATGAAAATTTCCCTAGTCGAGGGTATGTAGTAAGTTTGAAAATGTTAGATAAAACAAATGGCAATACGATTACCAGATTTGTAAATGACAGTCTTACGTCACTATTTTTGCCAAATGCCGAACCGGCGAATAAAATTTTATTGATGATCTCGGATGCAGCTTGTTATATGTTGAAAGCAGGGAATAATCTAAAAATATTGTACCCCAATTTAATTCACTCTACTTGCATTGCCCACGGTTTAAACAGAGTGGCTGAAGGAATACGTTTGCAGCTTCCTACTGTTAATAAATTAGTGGCAAATGGTAAAAAGATTTTTGTTAAAGCCCCACTAAGAGTGCAACATTTTAAGGAAAAATTTCCAAACATACCATTGCCCCCAGAGCCGATTATAACGAGGTGGGGAACATGGTTACAGGCCACATTTTATTATGACAAATATATCAAAGAATTTGAGGAAGTAGTTACGGAGTTTAGCGAAGATTCTTCTCAATCGATTAAAGATTGCATAAATATTTTGGAAAACAAATATTTGCGACAAGATCTAGCTTTTCTAAGAAGCAATTATCAATTCGTATGTGAGGTAATAGAAAAGTTAGAAAAACCCAACATGTTGTTGGTAGATGCCATAAACTTAGTGAAAGAATTTAAGCAACAAGCAAACGCAGTAAGGGGTGATATTGGTACTAGAGTATCTCAAAAACTTGACAAAGTGTTAAATAAAAACGCAGGTTTCGGTGTTGTTTCCGACGTTGCTCGTGTTTTACAAGGCCAGAAGGTGGAAATTTTGGAGTTAGATTCAACATTAGTTGCAAAATTCAAATTTGCGCCAACAACGAGTGTGGATGTTGAACGCACATTCTCCAATTTTAAACACATTTTAAATGATCGGCGAAAAAATTTTACAGTAGACAACTAGGAACATATTACAATCATAAATTGTTTTAAAGAAAACTGAAATACGTATGTAAAATATAAAGTCTAGGATTATTGTAATAATATTTTATCCAAAGTTCTAAGAAGTGTTCTTTGATTTGTAATATGATTATGTTTTCAATCCTTTTTTGCTTAAAATAAAACTTTTTTAATAAAAGTGTTTGCTTATTTAATGCTAATGCTTTTTTGCTTAAAATAAAACTTTTTTATTGAAAATGTTGTGCTTATTTAAGCGCTTATTCTTAATTTTTTTGTGCTTCTAAAACCGCTCTGTAAAATAAAAGATGGTGGAATTTTATTAGTTAACAACACTCTTAGTTGAGTTAGCATAATTGCTATCACTAGTAATAGAGTAAAAAGTAAAGCTGACAGGGTTCCAATTTCAAATAATATAATAGTAAAATACAGGGTGTTCCATTTGAAAATTAAAAAGTTATGTTTTATAAACACTCTGTATGCCACAATAAAACAGTAACCTTTATTTGTCTTTTCACAAAATAGTTTAAGACAGACTTTGACCCTATTGCATTTTTCTGTGAACCCTTCCATTGCCAAAAGAAAATTTTAAATTATAGTTATAAAACCCAAGAGGGGCTAGTGAGAATATCTAAAAATATATAGTGCATTTCATTAAAAAAAACTAAGTTGTGTGTTACGTCTTAAAAACAGAACACCGAATAATTTTAAGAATAAATAATTAGGCCGTAGTAATCTATTGTTAAGGAAGTTAACTTTTACGCGATGGGGTACCTATACAGAGTTAGTCACGAAAAAATTACCTACTTTTGAAAATTATTTTTACGCAACCCAAAGTACTAATATCGTTAACTCTCAAAACATGAGATGTCGGAGCGCTAAAAAAATACCCAAATTCTTTGCGGAAACTGTAATAGCACAAAGATATAGAAACGATATCCTAACTGCTTTTGTTCGAAGTTACAGGCTGATGAACTCCAAGTCGGATTTTACCAACATGACGGTGCTACAGCACATACAACAGTACACAATTTGATTTTTTTAGGTGAATTCTTTGATGATAGTGTGTTAAGTTTACATTCAGTTCCTGAGTACCCCCCAAGGTCACCAGATTTAACTCCTCTAGATTACTCTTGTTCGGTTAACTAAAAAACACTATTTTTAAAACTCTCATTCACACCATAGAAAAACTGAATGACATAATTACCGAAAAGTGTACTCGCATTACTCCTGTCACAGTACAAAATGTGTTTGATAACATGAAAAGATGATGTGTCAATGTATGCATACAGGAGAATGGATACCATTTCCACAGTTTCTTCAACTTTGCTTTCGCTTTTTTAAGCAAAATTATTCACAAATCTACAGAAATTATTTTCTTTGACTAGTTGTTCTAGTTTTCGACAAGCAAGAGCTAACTTTCGTTGGTAAATTGATTTATGTCAGTATGCAACCAACAGTACACATGTGTTTTGTTTAATTCCATAAATGTATTTGTTGCTATTTTTCTAACTACTAATCACTAATAATAATTAATGTATTACAGATACAACTGCTTTTCCACGCTTGTATGATGAATCTTTAAATTTGGACCAAGCTTCCGGGGAATCACAACAAATCCCTCCTCCAAAACCGGCAGTTTGTGTTATTTGTCGAGGAAACCAAGCTCAGAACGCATTTATTCCATGTGGTCACAAAGCGCTTTGCAGAGAATGCACACCTAATGTCAGGGATATGGTGCCAAAAAAATGCGTACTTTGCAGAGAATACTGGGTCGGCATATACACAATATATGAATAATAATGTAATGCTTTATTATGTAAATCAGAAAAATAGAATGTAATATAGCAGCTAAATTATTGTTATGGTTAACAAGAATATTTATACTCGTAAACTGACTTGACATTTAAATTTATCAAGTCGTCAATTCAGAAATATGGAAGTTGTGTACTAATAAATGTTAATTGAATTACCGTTTGGCTTTTTAGTCGCCTCCCAAAAAGATATTTCTCGATTTAACGTCTTGTAAGCGACGTTTTAATTGATCAACTTTTAAATGATTGGTTTCGCCAACAACGAACATTTCATGTTCTTCAACTTCTTGACAAAATTAAAAATTTTGGATCATACCTCAATGTCACCGGAATTGCAAATGACGATCTACAGAGACGTGAATGTTTACCTACTTTCAAGGCTAGCTACGATTTTCTGATTTTCAGTATTTTTATTTTGACGATTTATTTTACCATGTTTGGAAAAAATAAAATAATGCATGCACTGTTTACAAACGAAACATTTGACTATTAATGCTACTAAATAGTAATTTACACAACTAGTTCGGGATAGCCTGCTTCCCGCATGAACGCTTGTTTGCGGCACGACCGAAGGGAGTGACGCATTTGCGTGAATGCGGGAAGCAGGCTCACGAACGTGTTGTGTACAATATTTTTTGCGACGAATAAACCTTTAAACTGAAGAGATTAACTGTGAGTTATTTATAAACAACGCCATTGACAGCGCCGTCAACACGTCACAATGTTGACACTACCCGAGTATTTTAAGGTTACCATGGCAACGGGAAGTTAAATGCACGTGTGCGGGAAGTTCGAACTCCCGCACCCTGGTGAATGCGCGAAAGCTATCAAAAAAGGTCATGAGTGCAAAAAGAAAGTTAAGTTAGCCCAGCATCTCAAAAACAAATGAAGTACAAAATTTGAAAAAATTGCAGAAAATAGAACCTGAGTATTCCTAGGGACAGTCCAAATTTCAAAAATCTTCAACAACCCCTCTCGTGATATTCAACTGCTTCCATACTTTTTAAAGACCCGTATAAATCTAAAACACTCACACACGGTGTATTTTCTGGCGGACGTAGGTACTTACTTATGCGAACTGCTAGTGTTTCCGTTTCCAGGGCCCACATTATAAGTGTTATAAATAATAAGGTATCAGGTATCATATTAACGTCGTTATATTTCATACCACAATTGCAAACAGATTTCGTAAAACGCAACGTAGGTAAGTTAGACAATTGCAAGAAATTCTCTCTCGAACGCTCTCTACAGCTGTCGACACACCCATGAAAGCTACTCTCGGAGAGTTCGACTGATCTTGCACAGATACGAACAAATTTTGCGACAATGTTCTCCGGCAGTAAGTTTTGCCACACAAATTTCGTAACAAGAGTAAGTACAAAAGAAGTCTAAACTGACTTTTAGGAATTATTAGGTAAGTATTTTGCTTCATGGGGTCAAATAACTATATAAAATAACTAGATGGATAGATAAAATGAGAGGTATTGATAAATTACACATACAGGAGCATGTTATTTTATAAAATTTAAATAACATTTACTGCTGTGGAAATTGGAGGTGACGTCATGTTATTGTTGATAGGGATGATCAGACAAATTTTGGTTAGCGTTTTACAATCTAGATGATCTTCCTAACATACGTACAAAATTTGAGAACAATCGGTTTGATAGTTTCTGAGTTATCTGTCTAAAATGGACAGATGGTACACCTATTTTTAGTAGTCTAGGGGTTATGGAATGTCGAGAAAACATGAAAGTAGCTAGTTCGCACTACCAAATTAATTTTCAAAATTTAACAAGAACACTTTGAAGCAGTTAAGAAATTTAGGTTACAACAATCTAACAAACAAATTTTGATTGAAACTAAATGTCACTGTCAACCGTGCCAATGTACAACAATAAGATGGGATGACAATTGCACCAATTTCAAGGAACATTTGTTTCTACCAACTCAAACAAGAGGCACTGTCATCACTCTATAAATCTTTGTAAATTCGCGGAACGCTGCTATTTCGCAAAAACTATGGAAAGTTTTAAAAACATAGTAAATTAAATAATTATATAAATAAGATTTTTCTCCTTCTTTTATGGCAGATTTGTTATTTTTTGCTGCAATATTTGATGACAATAAAAAAGTCGTGCGTAATTAAGTAATTAAATACGAAAATTTTTATCAAATTTGAACCTCAACGTTTAATCTAACACGTGGCGGTAAAATTCCCTAAGTTTTAAAGTCAAATTGACTTATAATCTTTTATAATAAAGTTATTAAATTAAAAAAAAATCTTAGAAAAAAGTGTTCTATCTAAGTAACTACTGTTTTCAAAGGTTATTTTTATCATTGCTTTGTGTTTGCATTATTTCGTTAATCCAGTATTTACTCTATTATATTATCCATTCACGATCTTTATATAGTAGGGTTGGCTATGAAAATTTAGTGAGTTTGTTGGTATTCGATGCAAAAGAATAAAAATTCCCTGAACTTATTTCGTTAGGTTATGTTTTATTAAATTAAAGGTTAAAAAATATGCCAGAAATATAAACATTATTTCCGATACTTTCAGTTTTCAGTAGCAATGACCACCATTTCTTAGAAAGCATAAAACTTTATGCTATTTAAAACAGTTATCCGGCTTTTTGTAAGTATTTATTTCATATGTAAGGAACAAACACTAAAATTTTATTTAAACATTGTTTTTATATGAATGGGGGTTCTACATACGACTATTGTCGTATGCCACATTTAGCATCTCATCTTTAATTCTCAATCATCAGTTCGTTCTGCTCGCCCACTCTTCTTAGAGATGGAAATTTCGACCTTTGTGAACAGCCTATTTCCATATCTTCCAACTTCTTTTTTCACTTGTCTAAGATTACTAAAAGAGTTGGTAAAAGACAACAACCTTGCTTTAGTGCTTTGATGGGTTTAACTCTTCTGAAACATTTTTCCGACTTCAAATTGAATGATTTATCTATATAGCTATTACTAATGCTTACGTAATGCTCTTTATTTGCTTTTACCAAGTACTTTCAAACGCTTATTAATAAGAACGTTACTATACGCCTTATCCAGGTCCATGAAGAGTTACAAAAAAAAAATGAAAATGCTTAAAATTTGGTGCAAAGTAATAACGTGGATGATCTAACTAAAATTATACTTATTTTGTTGTACGTCAGGTAGTTTTTCACATACTACCTTGGTTAATTTAGAACGAAAGACGGGTAAAAATATCACCCCCCGACAAGCTACAATTCACTCCATTTCCATTATTTCGCTATGAAAATCTGTGTCATCACCGTCATTTTCAAATTCAGATTCTGAATCAGATTCACCTAGCGAAATAATGAAAGGAGGTATAGATTCGTACGAAAGATTTCCAATATTTTTTCCCAATCTGCCAAAATAAGTTTTTCACAATGTTTACAAAAATTTTGCCACATATGCTTGGAGTACATTTAGAAAGCGCCTCAAACCATCAATTTTCCACCCTATTTTTTAATGAAGGTTGAGAATTAATATGTTTGTTGTAATAGTTCTTACAAAATTCCCACGCCATTTCAATTGGATTATATTGACAATGGTACGGAGGTAATCTAAGATCTCTCTCTTAATGTCTCGTCTACCAAATATTTTTTTGTTCTTTCGTTTCTGAAGGGTTTAATTAAATCCCAAAACTGTTTCTTCGAAAATTTTCTGTCAAATTCAACACTATCTTTAAAGAGCCATTCCTACATTTCACATTTTTTACTAGAAAAAGTGGGTGATTTATTCAACTGAACCGAATGATACGATGCATTGTCCAAAACCACCACACATTTTTGGTTCAACTTTGCTAAAACAGGAATGAGCTGATTAACCACCCAATTTTGAAAAATTGTCCCGTCCATCGTGTCATGATAATCTCTATCGTTATTTTTTTAATTTAAAAAATTGTTACAACCATCCAATAACCCTGTTGAACAACCCTCGTGGAGAATAGTAAACACTTTTAATTTTGGTGGGATTGCTTTTTAGATCAGTATCGTGCACCCAGCGACGAATGGACGAACCATTTTGATAGATCCATGTTTCATTCAAATACCCGAAAGTCAAATTTTCACAAGAATTTAGAAACTGTTAATATGTTCTCAAAAAAGTAATTTTGGGTGCAACGACATGTTTTTGTTCACATAGAATTTTGCGAACATTTACTTCCCTGTGTTTATAACCCATTGACTTAAGAATTTTGTATAATGTGGTTCGCCCCCCTTTAAATTCCAGCTGTTCCCTAGAATATGGCAAAAAAGTATCTACAGTGAAATATTCATTTTTTTAATTAAGTTGTCAAATTTATCGTTGCAGGTCTTTCCGAAACACATAATTTGTAAATAAATCCGTTGGTTTTCGCTTCCAGATAGTGATGTTTTTAAATTTTGGTCCCCTGTTGATAAAATTTTCGCCACAGTTGATGTTCCCACCTGAAAAAAAAAAATTATTTATTTTACAGCGTATTTTTACATTACAGAAAATATGTTTGAGACCCTCATAGTTACTTCTTCGAAAGAAAGATCAGGCCTGTCTTTTCAAAACTGCAAAAAACATCTTTTTGTTGCAGTAAAACTATTTTAGGCATTTTTTTTTTAATAATGTCGCAATGATCTGTGAATCAGCCACAATGACAAATTGTCTATGCTAACAAAATTAAAACATTTGTTTGCAACTTAAAGAAATAATATCAAAGCCTACTTTACTATATACCTAAAGATCGTGAAAGGATAATATTTAGAGTAGAAACATACCTATTTCACAGAGAATAGCTGAATCACACATTTTTCGCAAAATTAGCATTATTAAAACTCACAAAAGAAATCTACAAATGACTTTGGATTATTCTTCTTCCCGACTTTGAAAGAACGCTATTTTTAAATTAATAATAATAATACAAGAGTGTGAAAACCAATTGTTGTAAATTCAACTAAATGTGTTACTTATCATAAACAAATTATTATAAATTCAAGTAGTGTTTAATAAATTGTTGACATAACATAACCTAACATTCTAAGTTCAGCCACAAACAACCCATATTAAGGTGATGTTGTGAAACAAAAAGAACTGTGTTCTAAATTCATTAAAATTTTACATTTCTTTGTAATAATAATAACTAATATTGCAAGGTTGTTGTTCTTGGTAGTTATTACCACTCCTCTAATTCGTTTTAAATCTACTCCAATCGCGGATGACCCCGCCTTGGACGGCACGTCCAATAACATGGTTAACGTCCATGTTTTAAAGTTGGTTCTATGGACCAATAAGAAGAGGGCTGTTGGAAGGGAGAATGATGGTATACAGCGCAGCCAATGGTCTTTGTAAATGGCTCCATCAAGTTCCACCGAGTTTTATTTCACAGAGACAATAAACAACTTTTTACATAATATTTTATTTAGATAATTTAAAATTAATACAAACGTTTAAAAATAAAAGTACACATTGACAATTGCGTCGTTCTAAATACACATCAGGCAATACAAATTTCATCAGTGTATTTAAGTGTAGTAACAAACAATATACATAATAAGCTTTTGTTTTACAAATTGCAACTTTTTTTTTCAAAACTACTACAATCCAAGTTAGTGTTAATATAAACTTCTATTAAGAATTTCAACATTCTTTTTAAAACTGAATAGCACGTTAATGCATTTTTTTTTTAAGAATTAAGAGATATTAACGGAATGCTAATAAGTATACGTGGTATTTGTAGGGAAACAATTGTTAAATTTTTGCCTACTATTACACAAGGTATTGTAACTCACTTGTGATGGAAAGTTGTGTACTACTTGTGATGTTTGGTAAAAATATGCATTTAAAGTAAAACTCGTGTCCTGAAGCTGCAACGTTACTACTGTTACTGTAAATCTAATTCCAGAACAGCAACTGCGTTGGACAGAAGGGGATACGAGTTTTTTTATACTGTATATTTTTACAACATATGACATTGTGTAACGTCATTTCAGAAGCAGTGTTCACGTCCATACCGTGGGTATAGAATACGTACAGCATCTTAACAAAGATTTGAATAATTCCTTGACTCGTCCACTCACAATTGAACAGTCCCTATGTATTACATTTAGTTCAAAAAGTACGAAAAATAAGTGCTCAAGAGTCAGGAACGCGAGTGGAAACATTTTTCAGACTTTGCAAGACGCTATAATTCTGGTACTGAAACAGTGAACATTGACTGAATAAATTGTGAGGAGTTACAAAAATTATTCTGTCAATGTTCATGTTTCAGAACCGGAATTGTATGTAAGGGAGATAATCAACAATTTAAGAATATTGTTCGATTCTACGACCCCTCACACTTAATTAAGGTAGATTTAGTGCAAGTATACGTACGATGCTTGCAGTTACATTTCTACCTTCGTCTAAAAAATAAATTTACAACTTAACATCTTATTAAAATTATTAAAATCCACAAATTCGTCATCAGACGTCTGTTTTAAACTAAAATTATCTACTTGTTTTTACATAGTTTCTTTATATGTTAAAGATTCTTTACTTGTTACTATTTTAAAATTTAATCTTAGCTAAAATTTACCTATGTCTACGATATTTACGAGAATGTAAATAGTATTTCTGTTTCAAACTATGAGGACCTCCTCTTCTTTTCTAGTTTTCTTTGTCTTCTGGATCCAATTCCACCACAGAAACATTACTAGGAAAAGTGTTGGTACTACGGTAAATATTAACGGTAGAAAGTCTTCCAAAATCCACGTAAACCACGTTACAATAACTCGATCTGCAACAATAACATTAATCAAGTTAATCAAATTTTAAGTTAAAAGTAGAAAATAGTGTGTTTCAATTCTCATATTGTTGGATTGTAGATAAATTTATATTTTATTCTAGAACTACTAATTTAGTGTGAGTACCCGAAATCATTTCTTACCTTTATCCAGCTCAGAGCGGTTAACCGTGTGACACTTTGTCCAAGACTCTGATGATGGGCAAGTTATCCTACACAAGTGTTCGTCCTGATCGTCGTCTGAACACACTATAAAAACACATTTCAGTTTAGTATTTTTAAAAAGTGCTAACACTGAAAATATTTGTCGAATTTTTTTCAAACGATACTAAGTGAGTACTTACTTTCAAAAAATTTCCAAATTGTGTCGTTTGATTTACTTTCGATGAAAACTTCTTTCAGCGTAGAATTGGGAAACGTTCCTACTTTGTCCATGTTTTTTTTAATGTAGATGGTGTTAGAAATAGACAAAATCTGGTAGTGTTGGCAACTGCCCAGTTCGTCTTCAGTGCTGTGGTCTTCGACGTGTTTATCTTCTAGGACTAGGTGGAAAAGCAGACCACTAGAAGAACAAGTTGAAAATGTTGCGTTTTTTTCTTGGATGCGGACTTTATTGGTTTTAATCCAAGAAACATCTGGAATTAAAACACAGTTTTTAATTTTCATTATTTTGACATAGGTATATTATTGAGGAAGTTCATTGTTATTATCAAAAAATAGGTGTTTAATAACGCATTTTGAATTTTTTTATTATTTGTGCATCAAAATTAATGAGTAGCACCGATGGACCGGTGACACTTTTAACAACCGTGTGTTGCAGTGTCGCCGCCTCCTCAGGAACCGAAGCAGCACCGTCCAGAGAGACCGTCCCGAGAGACTTTGATCGCTCACTAATTTTTGTCTAGCTAACGACTAGTGCCGCTGAAGACACGTCAAAGAAATTTTCGGTATACAAAAAGAATCGAAATCTCGGTCAAGGTCCTCGTCTGACCTCATTGGCGGCGGGTCTTCGCTAGATGGGGCTGCTTCGGATCATGGAGAGATAAATGGATTGAAAGGGGCCGGGACGTGGTGGCGGGGTCGCGCGGCGGTGGTAAACATGGCTACCGACGCTTATCGCCTCTTATCTTATCAGTGTTTGGCTAATCTCACTCATGAGTCATGAATCAGTGCGGCGCGGCTGTTCTGCCCGCCAAAATTTGCTTCGTTACACAATCATCAAATCCAAGTTTGTCGGAAGAAAAACTAATAAATACCTATGTAGGTACAGATTGTGTATGATTAGGTTGTTTGGAAGATTAAGGAGGGACGTAATGACAAAAATGGTGCTATAGTCGAGATGATTTGATCTCATAATTCTCAGCAGCAGATGCGATTTTGATGAAACTTTTCTTAAAATGTTTACTTTAATCTATTATTTGACATTAGGAACATTGCAAAGGGTGTGCATAGAGATTTAGGTATGTTGTTTAAACAATACTTAATACTTAGTTATTTATTATAAGAGTGTTTTAGACAGCGTTTTATCCACGCAACAATGTTTAAGGCGCGGTATCACTCGAGTTGGTTCGGGACAATTTTCTTCCCAATTTTGTTCTAGCTTAAAAACGAGGCAAATTGACTTAGAGTACCTATTACTGTCCGTCTCGGTATTGCCAATAAAATTTTATAGGGTACAATGAAATTTCCAAAACTATACATAGTACGATCTTTGAATTTGGGAGGGTGGAGATTAATCGGGCTACCCCTGGCCAACCGTAACTGATTCTTCAAATTATTCGTTATATAATTCCCTGTTTAGGTTTTCTTTTGTCATTTTTTTCAACATGAAATTGTCCTTTACATTTTGATAATGTGAAATATGAAAATGATTGCGTTAATCTGAATGAGCAGCAATTTATTACTTGATATCTATGTGCACCTAAGTACCTTACTTATTCTTTTAAAATAAAAGCAACAGAGTATAACTAAGTACGTAACTGCAATTTAAAAATTCATCACAACAAATTCCAGCGCATTAAGCAACTCTTTAAAACTATTAGAAAAATTTTAGGATCGTTTGTTAACATTTTGTTAAAATAACGGATTATATTTATTTTATTTTTCGACGTTTAAGTTTCTCAATTTTCATTTTTCGTTTCTTCAGTTCTGCAACATACATTTTTTCGATTTTGCACATTTTCGATTTTGCAATTTTTCATTTGTTCAATTTTTCAATTTGCAAATTTTGGTTTCGGTTCTTTGTTTTCTTTATTTCTTCAATTTCTCGGTTCTCAGTGTTATAATTTTCAAATTTTTCTTTTTCAAGGTGAAAATTTTCAGTGTTAGGAGTTTTCTATTTTTCGATTTGCAGTTTTTTGATTTTTCAACGTTTAGATTTTTTAATTTTTCATTTTTTCAATTTTAGATTTTTCAGATACCTACTTGAGTTTTCAAATTTTCGTTTCTTTAATTTTTGATTTCTAATTTTTCTAGTTTTCAATTTAAATATGCATTTACCTACCTATCTAATAATAAGATCACTGTACCCTATATGGCCTACCTAAGCTTTGAGATTTTTTTAAATTTTTGTAAGAACTTGAAATGGAAGAATAATGGTGAGAGTTGAAAGAGATTCCATTTTTGTACATAAATTTCAAATTTCAGACATTTTCAAAACTGTAGAGCCCGATAGTACCTACCTGGTTTAATTAAACTGTGTCTTTAGGCCAAATTGAGTACCTACATAGATACCCAATATGGCCTGTTTTTAAAAAATCGAAAAAAAACAACAAAAATAAGCAAGGAAAAATTATAATGTAAAACATTTTTCACTTTGTCAATTTTACGATTTTAGAATTTTTCCTAGTTTCACTTATTCAACTTTAAAACTTTTTCTTTTCATCGGTTTTTCAATTTTTCGATTTTCAATTTTTCACCTTCTCTATATTTAATTTTGAAGTTTATATTTCAGAATTGCAGTTTTTCGTCTTTACAATTTTATTATTAAATATCCTTTTTCAATTTCAAAATTTTTGGGTTTTTCAATTTTTCGATTCGATTCGCCTTTTTCGATTTTTAAGTTTCTTTCAGTGTTTTGATTTTTCGTTTCTTCAGCTCTTCGATTCGCAATTTTTCGATTTTACACGGTTTCGATTTTGCAACTTTTCGGTTTTTAGTTTTGTCAATTTTTTTAATTTGCCAATTTTTCAACTTTTCGAATAAAAAATGGAATAATTGCAAAATTTTAAAATGAAAAATCAAAAAGCGAAAAAGTATAAAATCGAAGCTTTGAAAAATCTAAAAACTGGAAGTGCAGAATTTGAAAAATAGAGGAAATGAAAAATTGAAAAATCAAAAGATTAAAAATTGTGAAAATTAAAAAACGAAAAGGTGCAAAACCGAAAAAAACACTGAAAAAAAAAAATATAAATTCTGAATAGAAAGGAAAAATCGAAACACTGAAAAACTAAAGATCGAGAAACTTAAAAATCGAAAAAAGCGAATCGAATCGAAAAATTGGAAAACTCAAAACTTTTAAAATTGAAAAATGATAATAATTAAATTGTAAAGACCAAAAACTGCAGTACCTACTGAAATCTTGAAAAACTGAAAAATTAGATGTACCTAGAGACGGTGAAAAATTGAAAATCGAAAGATTGAAAAATCGATTAAATGAAAAAGATTTAAAGTTGAATACCTACCAATTTGAAAGATTCTAAAATCGTAAAATTGACAAAGTGAAAAATTTTAAAAATCATAATTATTATTAGATAGGTAGGTACATATTTAAAATGAAAACTAGAATAATTACAAATCAAAAATTGAAGAAACGAAAAATTGAAATCTCAAGTAGGTATCTGAAAAATCTAAAATTGAAAAAATAAAAAAATTAAAAAAATTAAACGTTAAAAAATCGAAAAATAGCAAATCGTAAAATATAAAAATCCTAAAACTAAAAATTTTCACCTCGAAAAAAGAAAAATTAGAAAATTATGACACTGAAACCCAAGAAATTGAAAAAATAAAGAAAACCAAAATTTGCAAATCGAAAAATTGAGGAAATGAAAAATTGCAAAATGAAAAATGTGGAAAATCGAAAAAATTTTAATTGGAGAATTAAAGAAATGAAAAATGAAAATACTGAAAAACTAAAAATTGAGAATTAAAAATCGAAAAAAATAGGTATAAATGCTTTCGTTCAGGTTAACGTAATCATTTTCATATTTATCTTATCAAAATTTAAAGGATAATTTCATGGATTATCTTGGTGAAATTATTTATTGCGTACGGATTTATTAAAAAAAAAAATGACAAAGAAAATCTAAACAGGGGATTATAAAACGAGTAATTTGAAGAATGATTTAGGGTTGGCTTTTATTTTGTGCTAGCTTTATATCAAGTGTGCAATATTTATTGAAAAATAATTGTGAAACAAATCACTGTTAATTCCGTTTCCGATGATAGTGATATTGGGATGATGACAGTTCTGCAATTTAGATAAATAGAGGTTGTCACTAAACGTGTGATCTTCGATATTTAATTAATTATTCGTTTTGTTTTTACGGCAGTACACAACTTATAGTTATTTTTGAATAATTCTTCCTATATATTTTTACATATTCTTATTAGTTTTCTATACAACTTTAGTTTATTTTTCAAATTTCAATGCGATATTACCACAGTATTACAATTTTTTAGTCTTTTTAGCAATACCTACTTAATTGATAAACAAATCTTTAATTGTTAAAGAAATGTACGCACTCTACCGTAATATTAATAAAATCAAATTTTAATATACAGTGTATTTAAAAAAATCTAAAGTGTTACTCAGTGACAAAATACAAGATTGGGAAAAACTGAAACAGCGATATTTGAGAATTCTAAAAATTTTCACTATTTGTGCACACCTGTTTAATAGTAGGTATGTACTTAATCTACAATCCAAGGTTATCAGTGCATGTAAGTAGGTATTTATAATAATGCACTGGTTTGGCGGTTTGTTGGAACTGCTTATCTTGGCATGATGGACCGGCAGATTACAATTACGAAGTACCGTTTCTGTCTCCTGTTTTCTAAATTGGTGAAGTTCTTATCAAAACAAGTTCCGGCTAATCGAAACGATAAACAATTAGTCACAATTTCGGTTTGTCTTATATCTGTTAATAATATAAGTTTACCCAACGTTTGTCTGCGAAAACTACTTATGATCAAAATTTAAGTGTAACAAGAACATGTTAGATAGGTATAGGGTAAGGAAGATAAAACCGGTGCCTTGAAAAACTTTCACAATGGAATTCTCTAGAAAATTCTGGAGTGCACAAGATAAGCGAAATTAGAAATTACATGGAAAAATTGAGCATCTTTTTTTAAGAATTGAGAATTACGCAGTAAAACAAGAGTGAAAATCGCCTTTCAGGTTGAAACACGTTTATCGGTATAGAGATAACGCAGGAAGTACCATGTACCCATTTTATGACTTTGGTGGTTTACAGTAGTTTTAAACAGTAAAAATATCACCAACCTTGGTTTTTTCTTGTTGTGACTGGATATTGAGACGATGGTGGTAGCTGGTAGAAAACCAACTGCCAAAGTATCACCCACAGAACTGACATCGACATCTCACTATTAACAACTGATAATAGAACTTATCTACCTGCAGCTTTTATATGCAAGTGATGATTTTGCGCAAGATAGAAGCTTCCAGAAACTATAGGTATCGAGGAATTTTCTCGAATTCGATTGATAACAGGTCTAGATTAAGTCAAATGTTGTTCACAGGGGGGCGGTTACATTATTTACATACTGGTTATCATATCGGACTTGTTCCACTCAAATATCTAAATTATATTTCAACTTTTTTTTTTCTAAATCTAAAAGAGTACACTTCATACAGCTCAGGGACCATTTTTTTACAACAACAGATTAATTTATAATAACAAAAGTTCAACCGATTTATTTAAATATTTCAGGGTAGTAATGGCAAAAATTTCGTTGATAATAGTTAACAATAACTTATGCATATTATTATTGTACACAGAAAACGGTAAATAGTTTATCAGTTCAAGGTCTTTCATCAAAAAGATAAAGTTAAGTATTGCGCAATGTAAATTACAGGAATACTCGTAATTCCCAATTTAATTTTTATCCACGACTATTAAGAAAACTGTCAATTATCGAGACACGATAAAATACATGTAGTGTATAGTGAACCAAGAGCTATAAGGTTATATGGCCCTCATAAAATCATCCCATTGTGTCGAAGTTAAGTTGTTTACAATGGAAAAGGTTTTAGGGTCGTAAATAACGTGTCCACTGCAGCTCGACCGGCTCTTGTGGTTTCGTTCAGGGGCGGCTTTCACTAAATATGAAAATCTACCACTCCACTATTTCTTTACTATACCTGCAGCCGCTGAGGGTTCCGAAATAACCACTCGCTTTGAAAGCCGGCCCTGTTAAATATGAGCAAGAAATGTTTAGAAGATGATTTATTGCCAACCGGTAAGCTTAGTGCGAACCACACAAAGGGGGTATTTATTTGCGGTCAACTACTTTTATGATGGCCATATAACCTTATAGCTCTAGGTTCACTATACAAGTTTGGCTGATTTGCGCCTTTTCTTCTCTTCGCACTATCGCTTACCTTAGAAATATGACTAATCTCTTTGTTTTCAAGAATATGCAAACACCACACAAAAACCACCAAAACTTCGATTAGAAATTTTCAATATTTACAACTTTAAATTAACGACACACACAACACTTAACAACTATTACGTGGACGTTACGCTGTTTAATAGAGTGGTGTGATTTAACCGCAAGTTTATCTAATACACTGATAGCAACGTTTGCCACGAACTTAGCTTATAAATTGTGATAACTGGTTGATTTATCACACTTTATGACATAAACTTTCTATAGTACGTTGTACCTTTCGAGTTCAAGGCTATTTTAAATAAAAAATTATGGACTATACCTATTTTGATTTGGAAAATATTGTTACAAAAAAATATCTTCTAAAAATAAATTCTCTTTTGCAACAAGTGTGTGTGTGGTATTTTTTCTGAGTTACGAGTATATTTATAGACAACAGTTTTGCGGTGCATCTTCGGTTGCATTTTTTCACAATGTTACATAATATTGCATCAAATTTTTGTATTCGTGGTCAGCCCTAAAAATGTCGCAATCTTATGCAATTAGGTACACTTTTAATCAATTACTTAATTATTAAAAAATATAATATAACTACACATTTATAGCTACCATTATTTTGCGTTATAAACTTATAATAACAACAAATCCGCGTTAAACGATTCATATTTCTCAGTTACACTTGTATTTAATTAATTTATATAACTTATAATCAATAATTAATTAATAAGCAGACGTAAAAACTTACCTTGGTTGAGAACTGGATCCAAGAACGATAAACAAATCAACACAAAATTTACTTTTATTATAAATTTGCACATTTTGTTCGTCGATGAAGCAATTGAGACCTTCGCACGTTAATTGCTGTCAAATATTAACTCTAAATTGCATTACAATCAATTTGACATATATTAAATGCGCATTGCGCATGATTCAGACGTGTCTGCTCTCAGTAAAACCTACTTAAGGCTGCAACCAACCGTGCTTTTTAGTACCAGAGTGTTCCACTGGAACACTATGCGGTACCGATGGGTACCTTGAAAATTTAGAACCGCTCACAACAACAACGCTATACCGAGAAGTAATCTTCGTAGTGGCATTGATTAAACACTTACCTACATACAGATCCATCCTATTGTTTGGAGCGAACAAGCCGAAGACCCGCGAATAAGAGATGACGCAGCAACATTTGGCCGTCAAACATCGTCGAAAAGCTTGGACAATAATGGTGCGCATAGGCAACTCCCATAACAGCAACAAAACGGTTCTTAAATCTACCACTCGATAGAGATAGGGGCACGAAAAAAAATTGTAAGAATCTCAGATGAGCCTAACACAACTTTGCCGTTATTTCTATATTAATTTTCAGTAATAAAAAAGCGAACTGACGAACAAATTTTGTTAACAGGGTCTTAGTTCCGATGCCACTTCTTTCCCCGCTGATGGGGTAAGATGGTTTTATTGTAATACTCCGCTTGTATGTTCTTTAATCTTCCAACATGTGTTGGGTATATTTCAAAATTTGTACATTCCATACATTACTGCCTTACAAGATTTTAAACCTTAACGCTGAAAAGCAAAACAGCAAGCGAGTACGTAGAAACGGATAACGGTAGGTACTGTATCGGTTTCTGCTTGGACATGGGGCAAATCCGCACTCAGTCTAAAGGTACGTGTCCACTTGCGAGAAATCGCCTCAAAATCAGCCCTGGAGAGCTCCAAGTCGAATCGAGTAAAGACGAAACACTACTGATCGGCTGATCTCGCCGCGAGCGATATTCTCTCCAGTGGACAAGCCAAACTGCGTTTACTTGCGAGAGATACTCTCAGTGCGAAGAATTTCGAATTGGGGAAGTATTCCCCGGGAGTAAGCAGTTCGTCATAAATTATTTCTCGAGTAAAGCCGACTTATTTTACACGTTTATGATTCTATGCAAATGGTCGTGAAAAGGACTACGCAATTCGGCCAAATCTGATCGTTTACCTGACTTGAACATTTATACAGCGTTTTGAGATAGGTAACACATTTTAATGAAATTATTAAATACTAAAAAACAATGTAAAACGAAAATAAATGACTAAATTATGTTCATTTATCGTAAATCTGAAGTAAGTAATGTGAAAGTAGACTAGATTAACTGTTTTAATTTATAATTAAACATCATAATTTGTATAAGTGATTCTGATTATACTTCATTATTATTATTTTTTTGTTGTAGTACGAGATTAAACTATGCACAACGAAGTAAATTTATTTTTTATTATTCTAATAATGTTTTTAAATGAATTTTTAATCATAAATTACATATTAGGTAGGTACTACAAATGTATTGTTGGCATGCGTATTCAAAAATTAATATTTATACTTATTTTCAGTGTTTATCCACAAGTGTTTTTATAAATTGACACCTGCCTCACCTGAAAGTATAATTATTAGGAACAATAATTTTATAGATGTTTTTAACACTACAATATTGCATGTAATTGTCCTTTGATGAATCATAACCTGCTGGGATGATAATCTTCAGGTGCCGGTCGTATTAAGCGCTCTTACCAACCTAACCCGGGAAACAATTTACCTACCCTTTTGGCTACCTGTTTTCCCAGCATTCACATTTCAGTTGAATTTCTTGAAAGAGGATTAACAAAAGGCTCATAAAATCATAAATTATTTGTGGGTGGAGTACAAATCGCTCGTTTCTTTCGCTAGTGTAGACGAGCAGTGGACAGGGTATATAGGTATAGCAAATTTGCTAGAACTTGGGCTCTAGTTGAAAACCAAAGCTGTGCCTCTCTGGAGGTACTTTCACAATACGAACACGTTTCGAATTCCTACAGTGCTGTCCGCGAGTGGTGAGCTTTGCCATGGCCAAATTTGGATGGTCAAAAGACCAAACTGCAGAACTAATTGCACGATATGGAAAAAAAGGACTATAGAAATCGCGTAGCATACACTAAAATTATTTTCAACTATACAGAGTGTTCTGTTTTTGAGACGTAATATGCAACGTACTTTTTTAAATAGAATGCCTAATTCTAATTTTCTAAAAAATTTTTGTAATGAAGCGGTTCACAAAAAAATCCCAATCGTATTAATTTTAAGATCTGTGTTATAATATTTTATGGGGAGGTAAACAAAAGTACGTGCTTTGCTGTGGTATCAATTAAATTAAATTCTAATATGCCGAGTGTTTATAAACAAAAACTAAAATATTACAATTTTGAAACATCGTTATTTCCGTCAGCCGATTCTCTACTTTTACGTTTTCTTGAGCTTTCATGACCCCTAGAGTACGAAGAAATGTCTCCAGTTTCCGTCTGTCTGTCCGTCTGTCTGCCGTCCCAATTTTTATTAGACAGATAATCTCCAAAGGTACTGGGCCGATTCCAGATTTTTGGAAAAAAATATATAAAACAACATTTCACAATTTAATTTTGATTCTTACAGCTGTTTTAAAGTTATGATAAGCATAATCAATTTAAAAAATATATATATTTGCTTATCCCCTCCAAAAAATTGATAGCGTCAGTACAAAATTTTGCCGAATAAATTCCACCCGAAATGTGCAAAATATATATGATCAGTTTAATACTTGTAATTTATTATTGTGTTCATATTTTTTAGATTTGCTTATACAGGGTGACTCAAAAAAAATGAATGCGTGAATTTATTTTACTGAATAACACAAGAATTGCAAAACTGAATCCTTTGAAATCTTCCAGACGTTTTAAGGTTATTGTAAGCGTGGTAAATTATTAATCTAAATATATCTGTTTATTCCCAACAAAAACTTGATGACGTCATCTCAAAATTTTTCAGAATAAATTCTAAGTGTGCAAAATATGTTGAGTTTTTAATTGTGATTTATTACTGCATTCATATTCATATTCATCTACTGTTATTTTTAGTATTATACTGCACCAATCCAAGTTGATATACGTGTCCTTGCAAAAATGTTGATGACGTCATCACAAAATTGTGTAAAGAAAAAACTCAAC